GTCTGTGTTGTAGTGAAGCCAGTAAATACCTTGTGGAGGTGCTGGAGTCAGTCGATCACTCTGAACTTGATGATATCATTGAAAAAGTCCTTGATGCAGTGGAAAAGCAGCCCTGTAAGTTCCCATGTGTTTATCTCATATTTTGTTCAAATCTTTATGTGTTGATCAGTGTTTTCAGATTATAAATACAATGGTGTTTTTTATTATTATTTCTACAACAGTGTCTTCCAGTATGATYGAGCTGTCTGTGGTTGAGATTGCTGTGCAGGACTGTACTCAGTCATGTGATGAAACCATGTAAGTGGAGCAGCAGATCTGTGTTTTCTGTAGATGACAGCATTTTGTGTTTTGGTGAATTAAACTGATCCACCATGAAACTATTATTTAAGCTGATGAACTCTCTTCCAGAGACAACGTCTTCAACATCATCGGCGCGTTTGACGTGCCCAGATACATTTACAGTGTGGAGAGAAAGAAATTTGTACCGTAAGTAAACTGATCATTTGCTTTTAGATTATTTTTATGTGGCCTTAATTTAGTTACATTCAATTGCCGTTATCTGGATGCACATTTATGGTTTTATTCATTAAATGCTTTTATTTTGAAGCAAACTTTTCCTCATGTCTGTTTGTGCAGCATCAGTATGACCAGCCATCCAGCTCCCAGTCTGTGTGGTTTGGCCAAAGACAAAGCTGAGCTCTTCAGGGAACGYTACACAATCTTGCAGCAGGTTGGTAATGGCTGATCAAACGCCCGGTTTGTTTCTGCYATGTTTGTCGCTGAGTTCATGTGAGCGCTTGTCTTTGTTAGCGYACGCACCGCCACGAGCTCTTCACCCCACCAGCAATAGGAGCTGCTGTTGACGAAGGTCAAAACAAATTTCAGGTAGAAGAGCTGAAACCAGCTGTGGTGGCAAACAATATTTTTTGCCTACATTGAAGTCTAAATTTATTTGACTTTCGTATTTATTTTGTTCTTTCTAGCTGAGGACAGTAGAAGCTTTGCTCGGTAGCACGGCTAAACTTGGAGAGGTGATTGTGCTCGGAATGATCACGCAACTGAAAGAGGTGAGTCAGTGGATAGTTCAAACACTTTCTTGTATTATGTTTTATTCTTAAACATCTCTTAATGTGTCTTTAAGGGTAAATTTTACCTGGAGGACCCGAGTGGAACAGTACAACTTGACATGTCCAAAGCAATATCCTTTGAACGGARTGAGAATTCTGTAAACAAATTATTGTGATAATCTGTGGCTTTTAAACTTGTTCCGTTCCTTAGCTCATTTGGCACCAGTTTCATAATGGTTTGTATACGGAGTCCTGCTTTGTGCTGGCAGAAGGTAMGATTTTAGAGGAAATAATAGATGCACATTCAAATAAAACATCTCAAATAGCTGCAAATATGCTTTTTCGTATGTAGTGCAGAAGAAGAACTTTACCCTCTGTYCTATAGGTTGGTACGAGGACTCTGTGTTTCACGTCAACGGCTTCGGATTTCCACCGACAGAACCTTCATCAGCTACAAGGTCAGTGGTGCTGGAGGAAACCGTGTGGCTGTGTACATTTTACTAGAGCATTAAGTTAAGTATGATGTACCCAAAATATTATTYTTTATTATTAAATGTGTGAACATTTTACAAGCTGCTTTGCTACACTCTGCCTGCTAACTGTGTTAATTATAGGGCGTATTATGGCAACATCAACTTCTTCGGAGGCCCGTCCTCCACTTCGGTGAAAGCTTCCGCTAAACTAAAGCAGCTGGAGGAGGAGAACGAAGACGCCATGTTTGTGATCGTCTCCGACGTCTGGCTGGACTGCGTGGAAGTGATGGACAAGCTCAACATCATGTTCTCAGGTCTGATGGTGCAGCGTTGGCAGGTGAAGATAAGCTCTCTGTGAGGAGCTGGTCACGTTGTTTGTTTGTTTTTTGTTTTTTCTGACAGGTTATGCTGCCATGCCTCCCACCTGTTTCATTCTGTGTGGAAACTTCTCCTCTGCCCCTTATGGGAAAACRCAGATTAAATCACTCAAAGGTGAGTCTGTGTGTCAACAGTTTATTCTGTTTTGTGATTTTTTTTTTTTTCTGTCAAGCACTCAAAAGCTGTAACTGCATCGACCAACCAAGTTATGGGGAACAAAGCGTGAACACAAAGCACCCACTGAGTCCTGTGATGATTACACTAATGTTTATTCACATGACAGGAACACATCCTGAATTTGGACAAATTGTAAGAAAGTCTGTCTATAATACTCTAACTCATAACATTTTAATTGATTAAAGCAGAAATTACTGTTATGAAATGTATCATCTTGAAATAACTGTTAAATGGATGTATAAATTCCAGAATGCTAACATGGTTTATGATTTAAATTTCAAATCAAACCCTATGTTTTGCTGTATGACAGACATTATCTTTAAGAGAAATTACATCCTGACATTTTTCACACTTTAAGAAAAACTAAATTCAAGTTACGAGATAAATCATTAACTGTTTAGTGTTTTTCTGTTTGGCTTAAATAAGCTTTCACACACAGTGTTTAACCTTTTTCCTTTTTTTATTAGAAACCCTGAAGGGCCTTGCTGATGTTATTTGTTCATATCCCAGCATTCACAGCAGGTAGGGTCTTTGTTTCCCTCTCAGTTCTACATTGACACGTTTCCGTCTGTTCAAGCTTCAGTGTGTTTGAGTTAAACATGTTTTTTTTTTTTTCAAACCCACAGTAGCCGCTTTGTGTTTGTTCCTGGTCCTGAGGACCCTGGTCCAAGCACCATACTGCCAAGGTAAACATCTGTTTTGGGTAATTTTTTTTAACATCTTTTGGGGACTTTTCTTAGTGCTTTCAATAAATGAGGACAAACATTTTCTTCCCAGACCGCCTTTGGCAGATCACATCACAGAGGAGTTCAGAGAGAGAGTGCCGTTCTCTGTGTTCACAACCAACCCATGCAGGTCAGACAAAGCTTTCACTTGAATATGTTATGTATAATATTCGTAACTAATTGAACGACTGTAAATCTGACATTTACTGTGGTTTGTTCAGGGTTCAGTACTGCAGCCAAGAGATCATCGTTATCAGAGAAGACCTGGTCAACAAGATGTGCAGGAACTGTGTCCATTTGCCCAACAACAATCTTGACATCCCAAATCACGTAATTTTTTTAAATCTTACCCAACATAAACCAGAGTAATTTCAKTACAGTAAAGTTTGCCTGCATCATTCTAATGTAGATGTTTTTGTGAAGATTGTTTATTTATTAAGTCTGGAAACTTTGGTTATTTCTAACGCAAAATAATCAAAAATACAACATGCCTCCTTACTTTATTACAATTATCTATTTTCTCTTCCTCTCCTCAGTTTGTGAAGACCATTTTGTCCCAGGGTCACCTGACTCCTCTGCCTCTGTAYGTCAGTCCTGTGTTCTGGGCTTACGATTATTCCCTGCGTGTCTATCCGGTGCCTGATGTCATTATTTTCGCAGACAAGTACGATCCCTTCAACATCCCCAACACWGACTGCCTTTGTTTCAACCCGGTATGAAAGTTCAGCCAACTCAAAATGACAACCATTGTTTTTTGTCATCTGTCTGGATTTTAAGATGTTTTGTCATTTCAGGGCTCATTCCCCAGAAGTGGCTTCACATTTAAGGTGTACTATCCATCCAGCAGGACTGTTGAGGACAGGTGGGATGCATTTTTAAACTCAACTCTTATTTAGGTTGTGAAACTTGTGTTTATAAGTTGTAACTGTATTTTTTTTATTTTCACAGCAAACTACAAGGACTCTAAAGGAAGTGGTGGACKTGCAAGCAGTGGTTCCCAAGTGTTTTTATATCATTTTGTATAATACTTTTCAATTTAACTTGTAATCAAACAACTCTGTGTTTTGTCCTGAATAATAAAGATTTTATTCTTTGTAATTCTGAGAAATGTTTTTAGAGGTTTACTGCAGAAAAATAAATATCCAATATATGTATTTTAATGGGAATTTTACTCYATAATGTCCAATGGACACTTTGTATGTTTAAACATAACACAGGAATAGTTTTGTGTAAAAAAAAAAAAAGTCAAATTTATTGTTTGGCTAAGTCATACATTTTTGCTACCAAAGGGGAAAAAAAGAATGATATATAATACATATTAGTATAATAGAACCTCATAAATATAAAAACAAACATTGTTGTTTTTTTTTTTACCAATTAGGAGATAAAAGCATATTTTATGTTTTAAATAAAAATGTAGCTTCTCTGAATAAGGACAACCAGTCTAAAACCAGTTCTCAAATAAAGATGGAAGTTCTCAGGAGAATATATTCATGTATATATTTTTAATCAAATATATAGTTAATTAAATAGTTTAAATAATTATAATAAATACAAAATTAGTGAGCACAGTTGATAAAACAACATATTGCCTCTAAAGAAGGAGGTTGTTACGTCGTTTTTTCCCGTTACTCTTTTCTCTCACTGACCAATATTAAATTTAATAAAACTAATAAGGCATGAAAAAGCAAAATAATAGGTTGAGATAATAGGTACTACAGTAAATGTACTTGTTTTAGTCTTTATTTCCAGTTTTAGGTGTTTATAATTACAGTTTTTGTTCACAAAAGTAAACATCAACAAGCAAAAAAAAAAAAAACTTATAGTGCCATAGTATCATAATCATAAAGTTTCTGTTATGGATTTAAGTTTTGGTGTGCCACCCCTGGTTTTTCAGATTTCCCCAGGTTTTTTGCTGCAGGCACCACTGCAAAATCAAAGTTGTCATCTAATTTGACTTATTTTATTTTGAAAGTGTCGCATAGTTGAGATGCATCAGGACTTGTCGCATAGGTAATTGACAGTTTTAACTATTTGTAAAAATGGCTCCGTGCTTTTAAATACTGCTAAACTAAAGCGAGTTTTTTTTTTTGTGTAAAGGAAGTCATTTAAAGCTAAAGCTAAGTTAAACTAAGTAGCTTGGTAAAAATTGAATAATTGGTGCGTGTTGGATTCAGTTTCCGCTTTAAATTGTTTACTTCCGGTTACGCTTCCATGGCGCTTGCGATGACCTCAAAAACATAAGATTGCTTTCCAAATTGTTGGGAAATTAAAGGTCTGTAAAGGTAGAGGTTTCGACTTACTCAAACACATTTGACTCGTACTATTTATATTTAGGTAAAATTTGCTTTCGTCCCGGGAAATCTAATTTTAACTCGGTGTTTTTGGCTAATTGTGGGAGTGTGTWATAACCTACAAGCTAACGAACATGACAGATGGCTGCAATTTTCTGTGGAGCTCGGCTAACAAGACCTGGCGTTTTTAATTGACATTTTATTTGAATTTYCGTGACCTTAACCTGCATTTAGGCTAACGGCTAACTTTGTCTTATCAACCTGTTTCGCTAACTAAAGCAAACAAAAAAAGTTCGGCTAATGGTAAAGGAAGACTGTCGCATTAATTAGACGACGCTTTTGTGCGTTTGTTAGGCTGACAAAGGCGGTGTGTGTGTCATTCATGGACGTTCAAAAATACAAGGGCTTATTTCTGTTCAAAACCAGTTGGATAATAAATTAGCTCAWATCCTTTTTGATTTCTCTTGTCAGCCTCACCTGTTTCCTGTTTCCTGTCATGGCTGAGAGAGRGGCAGAGATGGAAGAGGACGCAGGAGACCTGCCAGCTAGAGAGGATGACAACGAATCAGACAGAGATGACGATGACCGGCTGTTTGCCATTGCTTGGGTGGTAAATAATGACATGGGTGAGGATGAGGAAGATGATGARGTGGAGGATGAACAGCCAGCGGACACTGAAGTGTCCGAGTCGATCGAGTTGGACATCCCAGCTGAGCGCAGCGGACATATCGCTGTGGTTGACAGAAACATTATGTATGTGTGGGGCGGGTACAAGGTAAGACCTGAAGCTCGATTTCATTGCATATAGGTGTATGTATAAACCATTTTTCTGTTTTTAAATTAACACTATAATCAATTTTCTATACAAGAATGCCCAAAACCACGGATTCTTTGACTTATATTTGCCGAGAAATGAGATCTGGACCTACAACATGGAGTCTGGAGTGTGGTAAGAAAATAAAATTGCAAACAAATAACCCTTTTGTCAGGCATACGTGTTTTGCATCATCGTTTTCTTAAAAGAAATGTTGCAAAATCGTCACAGGACGAAGCACGTGGCTGGAGGGAACCTGCACACGTCGATGTCAGGCAGCTGTGGCGTGTGTGTCGACGGCGTCCTCTATCTCTTTGGTGGCCATCACGCCAGGGGAAACACAAACAGGGTACAATTTTTGGCGCTGCATTAGCTTTACAGCATATTTGATTTTATGAGCGACAGAGACATGTTGGTGCTGCTCGTTGCAGATCTACCGCATGCCTCTGAGAGCTCGCAGCCTCGTGTGGGAGGAAATGAAGGATCTGAAAGGACTTCCTCCGTCGAACAAGGATAAGCTAGGATGCTGGGTTCATAAGAACAGGTGAGGTTTGAAATACAGTGACTTCTAAATCATTTAATTATGCATTCAATAAAAAAACAGTTTAGGCTTTACATTGTTTTGATTGTTTACAAAAATAGTTAAGATGTATTCATAAGAAGATTTAAGTGAGTTTATATGATCTGTCATGTTTACAGATTAATTTTCTTCGGGGGCTATGGTTACGCTCCTCAGGGATCTCATCGAGGAACATTTCAGTATGATGAATCGTCTTCTCTTATGGTCTGTATAAAATGAAATTCCTGAAATAAAAATAATAATAATGATAAAATAAATAAAAAATGAAATCGTTGCTGTAAAACTGTCAAATCTGTTGAATCCTAACAGGAAATGTATTAGTTTCTGCGTTTTCCTCAAAGACATTGTATTTATTATATAAAACCAGATAGTTCTTTTAGGAACCAAGTGTTCTTGTGTTCCGTTTTTTATTATTCTTGTTTGCTTCTGGTGCAGTGGGACAGCCCAGGACGAGGCTGGAACAACCACATCCACGTCCTGGATCTGGAGACATCCATGTGGAGTCAACCCATCACTCAGGTAAAAACAGTCACACTTCAGTTTACATCAGCTTACATAAAGACCTGTGAGCAGTGGCGGAGCTAGACATTTTTCTCAGGGGTGGCCAGACTGGGACCACTACTCACACAAGGGTGGCCAGAAAAATTACATAATTTTTTACTTGAAAGTTTCTGCAGATATTTGTGTTTTTGTCATTTCCTTATGTCCTCATACAGGCAGAGACTACCTTACAAACAGGTGCAGAACCATTTAAAAAAAAAAGGGTAGTGG